TCATCTACTGGGTCAAATAAAAAAAGCAAACAACTTTATTTGGCTCCATCAGAATACAGCGTAAAAAGAATATGTAGCATATCTTGGGCAGAAAGACAGAAAAACCCCAAAGCTCTGATCACATATACACAAATGTAATTTTGTTGTGTGCCTTTAAGATGAGGTGGGGAGGAAGGGGCAATACTAAAGGTTGTGATTGCTCATACCAAGCACGGATAAGCTAAATGGCATTGAAAAAAAAAAATCACTGTCATTATGTTCATCAAGATTATTTTTGTACACAGCCATAGGAAGCATCTCACAAATGATCAGTCATTTGAGCGAATTTGCATATGTTAATTCTCCAGCTGTGCCGCTTAAAGTAAAGGAGATGAACAGTGACAGAAATTAGGTTTAATTTACATTTAATAGCATTGACAATTACATCTAGACATGTGAAGCAGTGTGGTGGAAAGACAGGTGTGGCAGCATGAAGGTGACTTCAGCCAATGGCAAGTGATTTTAGTAAATCTCTATTCTACTTCATGCGTTGAAAGCATGAGCTTTTTATGTCTTGGATATGATTTATTTCAAATTATCAGGCATATACTGTACAAAACATAATTCGCACTATATAAAAACCTGACACATCACAAAGCATTTGGGTATCAATACCAATATTGGATCAACTCCGATCCAGAGTTTTGGATGGAGCCATCCCAAAACACAATCAATCTGGACTTTAGGCCAACCAGAGTTAGATGTCATACCAATAAGATCATATGTTTTTGTAATAGTGCAACATCAGCCTTTACAACTGATCCTTCAAATACATGCACACTCCCTGCCAGTTCAGATTTGAAACAAAATCTCTTCCCATTAGCACTAAAAAGCACCTTTGAGAATAAAAAGAGCAAACAAAGTCCGTACCAATTACTGACTCTGTTGCAATCAATGATAAGGTTTAATCACCATTTACTGCAGTACATACCTCTCCAGGTCGTATCTTGATATAAAAATTGCTTCTCTTGTATGAAATTTTAAGGATCTTTGGCCAGGCGAAGCGGTTGATCCTCAGCCTGTCCCTGTAAATCAACAGACCATTGGCACAGACGCCCAGCATGATTTCAATACCTTCAGAATCCTGCAACACAAGATGAGCAAAAGATGATCCAAGAGCATACATAGCATAAGGAATATGTGACACTGGTGTGAATAAAAAGCCATGAAAATGTTTTCAGGTGACAAACCTTAGCGTGGTGGAGATCCACACCATACATGGACAGTTTCTTTGCATTCTCCAAGAAGTTCATTTCAGCCTCGGCAGGAGTCATTTTGCTGAAGACAAAATTATCAACTTTATCAACTTTAAGAAACAACAGGAGTGCTTTCATGACAAGGCCATAATCTTACACAGTGGGAGCAAAGCTATTGTGGTAATGTGCTTAAGAAATTCACTTCTCAAAAGTTTGCATGCCTGCCCTGAAGCATCATCCAAATCTGGTGCCAAATGATGGTTCCAAATCAGAGAGCCTAGACACAGGATGCATTCTCACATTGTCAAGACTTTAAGACTGCAATAAAAGTATATCTAGTACTTGTAATTTCGATGGAGCTCCATCACCCTCTCCTCCAGCTCGCGAGTCTGATTAGGCGCAAACCGGAAGTCACTGGCATAGTCGGAGCCGTGGTCGTCCAGGTCATAGTCGCCAAGCTCAGCTTGAACAGTGTAGGAGCCAAGAAGGGCGTGAGTGACGAACGAGCATGGCAGTCGACCTGACAGCATGTCGTCTCTCAGTTGCAGACAAAGGTAGTATCTGTCAAAACAGACAGAAGGTAAATAAGGGTGTTGGCAGTTGTACAGCCCAAAGCTGGGGCGAGTTCCAACAAGTATTTACAGAGCTTATTCATGGCACTTAGCAGCTTTCCAGGTTTGAACTCTTCAGAAGTGGAAAGGGTCTGGGTTAATTTGACAGCAGTGGAGGTGGTTACAATTCATTCATGTTATAGTAAATCATCTGTGAAACTGACATGTGTAGGTAATTATGACTGTCAGAGATTCAAAAGAGCAGTTGGAAGCACAGCTAAAAGAGCAGCAACAGGTCATATTTCCCAGCCTGTTTACCTGGTTATGTCCTCAGTGAGCTGGGATGGGTCTGGAGGGTAGAACTTAACCGCAAAGACCAAGTGCCATGGAGGGTCTGTGGAGGGGGAGGGAGAGAAAGAGAGAGAGATATTAGGCCACAAACCTAGATTACTTGAACAAATACACATTTGATACATTAGGATTGACCAAGATGAAAATAAAGCCCCAACTGGAAAAAAAATCCTGATTTACAGTCAGCCTTTAAAATGAATCTTCCAATTTTTTAAACATATGGGTTTATGTTTTTGCCACCAATAACGTGGTTAATTCATTGTACATGTGCAATAGTCCACTAAAAAGACAATTAGTGAAATCAGTAGTTTCATGGAGCCAGACTGAGCCCTTTAAATGCTCCATTGACAAAATGTTTATAACAAAAGATTAGCCTAATTAGAGGCCTAATAGTATATTGTACGTTGTATCCCACATATGGTCTTTGTTTGTTTTGGTATCTACCCAGGAGGTCGAGCTTTAAAAGGCCTTTATATTGTAAATGTTGTTCGTTAACCTTATGTTTTAACTACAATTTATCAATAGTGTTTGTTTTTTTTAAATTGTTGCATGTGCTAAAAATGTCTTAGCTGTAAACTTTGCACTCAAGTACAACATTAAGAGAGGAAATAGAGGATATAGTCATAAGAACCTGAGGGCAGCTATAGATTTTTCTTTTCTTTTAGTGTCTCTGCTATATCCTGTCCAAGACAGTGACCTTGGTGTCATTACATTAATTTCAGTAGCTTCCAAAAAATTCTAATATCTGTGCACTTAGTGCTGGCATTTCTTAAAGAGGAAGAAAATCTGCTTTATTTGTCAGATACATGTAAACACACAACAAATTTGTGTTCATCATCCAAATCCATCCCTGAGGAGCAGTGGGCGGCTCAGCTTAGAGCCCAAGGCGATGGTCTTCTTTGGCCATACTATTGCCTCATCCATGTTTGCCAACAAATGTATTTTCAATTTGAGCAGATATACATTGAAATATTTATCATCAACAGAGAACAGAGAAAAACACTCACTGTGGAGCTGCTTCTTGATCTCTTTGGATGGGTCCAACCAGTTCTGAAAGACAAAGATTCACAGTGGGCAGACTGATATCAATGCTATTTGCATTTTATTACTGAGAGCCTCTGTAATCTCCATCAGGTGTTCAGAGAAAGGATTTGACTCAAACATCTGCTGACCTGTGCTGCAGAACCAGGGACCGCAACTGAGTCTAACCTTGTCACATTTAATCATGCACTGCCCCCTACAAGGAGATGTTTTGGTTTGGATGTGGTTCAATGGATATATGAAGGCATCACTAACACACACATACTCTATCAGCATATAATAATGTTTCTATTCCAAAGGGCTGAAGCAGTTAAGTGGAGAGCAACTGAACTGTCTGAGTTTCTGAAAGACATTTCACCTCTCATCCAAGAGGCTTCTTCAGTTTGAACTAATGGAAAAACTCTCAGAGTGGCTGAACACAGTGGCTGACCCTGTCATCACCACGGTCAAGGTGTGAATGGGGTCTTGTGTGAGTCACATGGGAGGTATCACCTATAAAGACTCTCTCTCAAGTATTTAGCCACAAAGCCAGGGCTCTGTGCCAGTTCCGGAAGCAACTTAAGAACCGGTCGGCGTATTCAGACTGAATGCTACATGCTACTTGCTCTGCTCTCTTTTTTTTGGTAAACCAAAATGCATTATATACAGTAGCTTATCATCTCATGCATTCAGACCAAACTGTCCAGCTGATCAAGCATCTCCACCTGCCTTTCTATCATCTATGATTTACGGACATAGTTTCTCATTTGTGTCTGCCTGGCAGCTTCATTTCCAACATTGTTTTAGTTGTCAGGCTAATTTGCTATTTTCTACTCCTTTTCATTCTGGTCACAGCATTTTCTCCTCTGCCATCTCCAGTTTGGCCTAATGCTTTTTGACAGCAACACTTTACCACTTCACCAATCATGTGTGCTGTTTTTACCTTGCCTGTGCCTCCTATTGATTTGGACAGTTGACCATCCACCTACTCTACTGCGAAATAGTTGACGAGATTTAACGCCGTTCATGGGAATGATGGAACAAGACTCTCTAAATAAATGTATGGATATTGCGACGTAAACATGAAACAACTGTAGGTTGAGGACGTCGTAAAACCGAGAACCACTGTATTATTGGCACACAAAATAAGCAGATGAGTCCCGAAAACTGTAAGTGAAACAGCAGAACCCAGAATCTGCTTATTAATCCTGGTAATTTACTGCCAGTTGTTATATTAGTCAAAAATAATCAGCCACACTCTCAGAAGGTAAACTGCAATTTGCGACTCTCTCCTACACACATGCACAAACACTTACATAGCTCTGGTGCTAAATCATTCACTTTAATGATCTGCAGGCATTTATCCTCATCCCCATCTACCAGCCAAGGTCGAAAGAGCCTCCAATTAGTGAGATGTCCTCTTACTCCGGAAAAAGGCCAGAAAAACTTTTAATCACTAATGCATCAGGGTTTGTTGTTGCCTGATGTTTAAATTCCCATTTCCATCACAAAAGGATGGCAGAGGACATTTTAAATACCATTCTTTTTCAAATGTTGGTGTGTTTTACTTTAGTACGACTGACGCTGGTAATGATGATGCTGAGTCAGATGACTTGAGTGTGTAACACTATAGATATTGAAGTGGGCGTACATTGTTGTTACTCCCTGTGCCCCCACTAGAAAATTCTCTGGACCCGGCCCTGCAAACTGCAATCCCCAAAGCTCATCTTTAGTTAAATTTTAACCTGTTAAACACTTTTAAAAGCGTCTAAAAGTATCTGTAATGGTGAGGATTATGCTTATTTCAAAGCTGCAGCTGTCAAACGTGTCACAGCATGAAGTCACAGCATGTAGGCTGACAAAGAATACACTGATGATGGTAACAGACACTGTGCCCCTCATGGAAAGCAACTGAGCCTTGTCATTTCACTTATCTTCAAAAAAAAGAAGAAGAAAAGTAGCTCTGTAGCTTACCCTAAGGGAGCTTTACATCAATCAAAGAGCCTAAAACACATCATACAAAGTCTTTTGATGTCTTTTGATTGGTGGGGTGCATCTTGAATGCAAAGATTATAAAAATCTTGTTTTCCCATCTTTTTTACTCAGTGACACTGGCCCAGGGGATTTCATTTTAAAGTTTGGAGAAGTGCAGGTAAAAGCAATGCACACAAACATTCACTTAAGAGGAAAATGTTTGGTAGCCACTGGAGGCCCCCA